TGATTTGATCAAATTCAAATCAAGTATTCAAATATTTGATTTGATTTGAATTAATAGTAAAGCCATCTCCAAAGCTTTAGGAGTGACTCTTACTAAGAAAAACATAGTAAAAAGTACCTCCGCAGCTTCGGAAATACCTTTTTTACTATAAAAACCATAGTAAAAAGCACCTCCGCGGCTTTAGAAATTCCTTTTTTACTAAGAAAAACATAGTAAAAAATGCTTTCACGACTTCAAAGAAGTTATTTTACTAAGAAAATATAGTAAAAAACGTCTTCGTAGTTTTAGAGACATTATTTTACTAAGAAATAATAGTAAAAATGCCTCTGCAGCTTCAGAGACGCTATTTTACTAAGAAAATATAGTAAAAATACCTTTACAGCTTCGAAGATGTTTTTTACTAAGAAATCTAGTAAAAAACGTGTCCGCAGCTTTAGAAACGTTTTTTTACTAATAAAATTATTACGAAGCTGAGATGGCGTTATTACTAAGTTTTCTTAGTAAAACTGAAGCTGCGATAGTGGTTATTACTAAATTTTCTTAGTAAAACTGAAGCTGTAATAGTGGTTATTACTAAGTTTCTTATTAAAACTAAAGCTGTGATGGCGGTTATTACTAAATTTTCTTAGTAAAACTGAAGCTGCGATGGTGATTATTACTAAGTTTTCTTAGTAAACTGAAGCTGCAATAGAAGTTTTTACTAAGTTTTCTTAGTAATCTGAAACTGCAATAGCAGTTATTACTAAGAAAACTTTAGAATAACTTTATTTTAATATATAATTGTAAAAATTAAAAAAAATTTATATTCGATTCAATTCAATTTGATTTGATTCGTTTTTGAGGAACCCTAATTATTATTAATTAAAACCAATATTTGTTATAGGTTTCAAAAGCAATAAATTTAATTTTACAAAGCATTGGAATCAATTATGAATTATCTGAATACAGTCGTTCCCCTTTATAATCACACCCTTTGAGACCAAAAATAAAAAGTGTGATTATAATAAAAAGTTACTATACAGGGGGATTTTTATTTGTTGTTACTAAACGTTGGTTCTGGAAGGGTGTGACTATAAAAACATTGTGATTATAATGAGAATTTTTTATATTGCATTAATAGGTATTAGTTTTTACGAAATGTGTGCTTATAATGAGAGATTTATATGATGTGATTGTACAGGAGGTGACTATAGAGAGGGACGACTGTATACTACTATTATTCAGAACACTTTACATACTTTAAAATAGGATTGTGACTTTGATGGTTCAATTAGCGATATTAATGACAATAATGAAAAAGCTCAATCTAAAAACCCGTCAAATAATTTTCAAATCCATGAAGATAATCAATTGACCAAATGCTATTACAACATCAATGTCATATTACAATAAAGCATAATTTTCCAAACTGCCTTGATAGAAACCAATTAATAATTGAAGATGAAGAATTTGAGCAAGAATTTCAATTGAATACTATGAATAATTCATTTTTTGATATTATTATTTGTAATGTACAAGGAAAACATTCTATAAATCGTCTTTTTGTTATGCAAAAAATGGAAGAGACTCATAGTATATATTTATAAAATTCATTACAATATAATGTATTACAAAAATTTTAACTTACGATTTTATTAAATTTTAGCTATACTTGATCAGTATACACAAAAAGAATATCAAAAATTTAATAATAAGACAACAAACAATCAAAAGAATTTTGTGGTTAAAACAGATGATGGTTCAATTGAATTGGCAGCTGCTTTGAGATATGAACAAATGCATGCTAATGATAAACCAATTAGGACAAAAAGATGTGTCTCACAGTGGACTACTGCATGTAAAAAAGTATTTAAAATTATAAAATTAAACCCACAGTCATCGAAATTTAAAGCTGGAAATTATTTCTTTTTTGTGGATAAAACACCATCGATTTTTATTGCAGAAATTATAGCAATATTTGTGATAAGTCTGAATATTTATGAAAATTTAAAATTTAGACATTATAACTGAATTAAAACTTAATTATCAATTTAGAAATATGGTACAAGTTATGTAAAGCTAAAATGTTAGATGAAATGGATACTAGTCAAATTCATGTCAGACTTTTTGACTTAGCATCAAATTCTGATTGTGAATTCACTCTAGTAATGGAAAATAATAGGATACAATTTGTATGTGAAGCATATCTATTTCGATTTTTTGCAACTTTAGGTGACATTAAAAGTTATTTTTATAATACATCAAAATAGACAGATAAAGTATTATGGTTATCTGACTTGTAACTAACATCATATTATTATTGGCAAAGTATTATTACCAATGTTGAAAATAGTATTGTAAATGCTGAAAAAATTATGAAAAATGCAAAAATAATGGGGATGATGATTATTAAATATTTGTCATACACATTGAAATTAAATTCTATAGCTTTATAGTATATTTTAATTAAAATTCTCAATAAATATAAAACTTTTGTCATATACTGTAAGTTCATTTTTGCTGATATTGTACATTTTAATCAAATTTGACTGTACACTTTGCTAATTTTTCAGACGGAGTTCACTATATAGAATTTTTTGTATTCAGGGGTCTTATTAAAGGATTAGAAAAAATTAAACCATACACTAAACAATTTAAGAAATTAATTCAATTCTTTAATTCTCCAAAATAAAATGAACAGCTAGAAGAGATTCAGAAAGAAATAGCATCTAGACATAATATAGAATTAGAAAATGATTTAATTTTATTTGATTTAATATCAACTGATTAATATTTATTAAAAATTTTATGAATTATTAATGATGTTAAGATCTGATGAGAATCACCTTTAGCTTCTTGGAAAAGATTACAATTGTTAAAAGATTCTATTAAACAGGTTCTTTTAAATTTGTGTCTAGAGAATGATAATGAATTTAAAAAAAATTATAAAAATTAAGAACACAGATTCTTTTAGATTATGAATGAATTTATTAAATAAATTATTTGATATTTTTTAAACCAATTGAAGAAGTAACAGAATGGTTAGATGATCAAAAATACTGCATACTTTCTTTAATATATTTATCTATTTATACATTATATTATAATTATATACTGAATATAGATAAAAAAATATTAATTATAAAAATAGTAAGTATATTATTAAATAATTAAATTATTTTATATTTATATTCTAAATTCTGATTTTCTTAATTTTAGATAATGATAATATTACTATAAATAAGGATTCTGAAAATAATGAAAGTTTGTCTGATAATAAAGAAAGTGATGAAGACGATGATTATGAACATATTTTTATAAATAATATATAAATATCTTTATCTGAAATTAATAATATTATTAATTCTGTCAAAAAATTAATATATGATATGCTATTTGATTATTTTAACTCATCATCTGAAATTGCTGTACTTGTTAGTCTTTTAGATTCAAGGTTAAAAAATGTGTGGATGGCCTGAAAAAGTACGTGAAATGGCAATATCTTTATTAAAAGAGAATATCAGTTGTTAAGAAATAAAGAAACTGCAATATCTCAAAAAATTCAAAAATAATTATCTAGCTGGTGAGTTTAAATAACATTTATTTAGATCAGATGAAATAGATAAAAACAATGATGATGAAAACAATTGCTATTTAAATAATATTAGAATTAGTGCTCCATATGGATCGGGTTGGGTCAGGATTGAGGGATGTTTGAACTCGACTCGAATATTCATGTAACTCAACTCGAATTTTTGGGTCGGTCAACTATGTAACTGAACTTGATTCGATCCGACTGTAATTTAACTCGAATAACCCAGGTTGAACCAAATTTATATGAATTTTATTATATTCAGCAAAACAATAGTAAATTAATTGACAAGTTACACATTAATAATGTTTTTTTATTTATTTAATTAAAATTGACCGGTC